GGGGCTGTTTCTGTGTCAGGGGCTTCAAGAAAGCAACCACAAATACATTAATTAATTTCCAGCCCTGCTCTTTATTTTGTTAAATTCATCTCTGTAGGCACGGAGAGGCCTTTTATCAGTGTGTAAAGCAGGAAAGTCCCGTGGGCTCATCTGACCAAGGTACTGGTTGGTGGCCTTGGGAGTCTCCAGGGTCAGTTTTCCTCCCGGCACTGTTACTTCCAGCCGGGTCCATGGGTGCAGATCCCGTGGAGGGAGGCAAAGAAATGCAGATGTGATTTTTTTTTTTAATGTGATTCTTTCAGTGTGACTTTGTAGGTGCAATTTCTCAATGTGATTTTCGATGTGATTTTTGATGTAATTTTGCGGATGGAATCTTTTTCACCGCTGCAGGTCCGGAGCTGAGCACCCGAGTGATGCTGCTGCCCCCAGAAATCACGTCTGTGAGTAAATTTTAAAAAGAAGAGGGGGGAAAAAACCCTCTATTTGCAGCTTGGCTGCTCCATTGGCTCTTCCCACAAGGTAATGTGGCACTGGGTGCCCACCAGTTCCCTTCCTGGGGGAGGGTCACAGATCCCACTGGCCCCTTTTGAGGTTTAGGGGGACCCGGTGCATTTGTGGGTGTTCACAGATGGGTCCTGGCACCCTTGGTTGCACCTCAGCACCCCCAACACCAGCTGGTCTGGGGGTCCCCCAGTACCGAGAGGGTGCCTTAATTTGGAACACCGTGGAGGAAGGGGGGCTGAGCTGGGGCTGGGGGTGAACTGGGGCTTGGGGCGGGGGGGGGCAAAAAGGGGCAGGGGGCGTGAATTGGGTTGAGAGAGCCGAGCCGGGGTTGAGGGTGAAGGGGCCTTGGGGAGCCAAACTGGGTTCCAGTCTTGGGAGGGGGGCAAACCGGGCTGGGGCGTGAACAGGGCTGGAGGTATTGAACCCAGTGTTGGGGGGAGGAAACTTGGGCTGGGAGGACTGAAACGGGCTGGAGAGGGGGTGAACAGAGAGGCTGAGGGGGTGATCAAACTGGCTGGATGAACTGGGTTTGGGGTGGCAAACAACTGGAGATAGGTGGGCTGAGCCTGGTGTTGCAGGGCACGAACCGGGAGTGGGGTGTGTGAACTGGGCATGGCGAGGGGCAAATTGGGACTGAGGGGGGCGAACCGGCTTGAGGAGCGGCTGAACCGGGCCTGGGGTGTGTGAACCGGGCTGGGGAGACAAACCGGGCTTGGGCGGGGGGTGCAAACCAGGTCTGATCCCCGTGTTGGGGGGCGCAAACCGGGCTTTGGGGGTGCTGACCCGAGTCTGGGGGGGGCCTGAACCGGTGCTGGGGAAGGGGGGGGTGTCAGAGCCGGGGGGGGCCCCGTCGGGGCGGTGCCGCGGGGCGGGTCCACCCGGTGCCGCCCCCACCTGCCCTCGCCGAGCGCGGGCGCGATCGCGGCGATGGCGCTCGGGGGGTCGCGGCCGCGGGGCCGGCGGGCGGCGGGGGGGTGGGCGCCGTGCGCGGCGCTGGCGCTCGGGTGGGCGCTGGGGTGGGCGCTGGGCGCGGAGCCCCCGCACCGCTGCCGCCCCGACGCCGCGCTGCTGCCGCCGCCGCTCCGCCGGCTCGGGGGCCCCGCGCTGCTCCGCGCCGCCGTCCCGCGCCTCCGCGGCGGCTGGAGCCCCTGCCAGCTGTACCGCTACACCCCCGGCACCCCCGGCACCCCCCGCCCCAATGGCACCGGGCCCTGCACCCGCGGATGGCACTACGCCCTGCCCGCCGCCGGCCTCCGCGCCAACCTCGTCACACAGGTGGGGGACAGGGGCGGGGGGGTCTCAGGGGAGTTCAAGGAGACCCGGGGGTGGGGGGTCCCGTGGTACAGGAGGGTGGGGTGGGGCGGGAGGCTATGGGGGGAGTTTGGAGCAAACAAGCTGGAGGTCCCAACCCCTGGAGCAAGTTGGGAACCCCCGTAAGGATCCCACGGGAAAGCCCTGGATATGCTGGGAGAACACCGGGGATGTCCTGGGATGTGGGGGGGTTTGCTTGGAGGGGGAAGCAGGGATCCTGGGAAGAGAGAGGGGTCCTGGGAGGAGAAGGTGGGAGACCCCATGGAAAGGGGTTTGGGGTAGGTGGGGGAGCCCTGGAGGAAAGTTGCTGAGGGGTTGGAGGGTGTCCAGGGGAGAGGGCTCTAAGGACCTTCAGCACCATCCTGGCACATCCCCACATTTCTACTTGTTGGGTGGGGGTTGGTTAGGAGACACCCCCCCATCTTTCCCAGCCCTGTCAGCAGCAATAGGGGGGGCCTGCTGAGCCCCCCACGCTGACAGCCCTCCATTGTGTCCCCCCACAGTGGGACCTGGTGTGTGCCTCACGCTGGAAGGTGCCCCTGGAGCAGACCACACACCTGTTGGGCTGGACACTGGGCAGCGTCACTGCCGGCCTGGCCTGTGACAGGTAACGGGGGTGCCCCGGTGGCCCCCTGGGCAGGGGATGCCATGCCCAGCCCTACTCACAGCCTGTCCCTGGTAGGTTTGGCCGCCGTCCCACCTTCCTGCTGTCCCTGGCGCTGGCAGTGCCCGTGGGCCTCGCCGTGGCACTGGCCATGAACTTTCTCATGGTCCTGGTGGCTCGGCTGCTCTTCGGGGCAGCACTGGCAGGAGCTTTCCTCGCTCTCTACGTGGCCCGTGAGTGTGATTGGGAGGGTCCACAGGGGTGTGGGGATTGAGGATGCTCTGAGGTGCAGGATGCTCTGGGATACAGGATGCTTTGGGGTGCAAAATGCTCCAGGGTATAGGATGCTCCAGGATGCAGGATGCTGCATGGTGTAGGATGCACTGGGATGCAGGATGCTCTGGGATAATTCTCCAGGGTGCAGGATGTCCTGTGTCAATGGCACCCACAGTGCACTCCTCACCTCCTGCCAGGGCTGGAGCTGTGTGAGCCCCCCCACCGACTGGGGGTGACGATGGTGGCTGGATTCTTCTGGATCGCTGGGGAGCTGCTGCTGCCAGGGCTGGCCCTGCTGTGCCGGGACTGGCGGGTGCTGCAGGGTGCTGTCACCATGATCCTGGCTCTGCTGGCTGCCTGCTGGTGGTAAGGACCCCCTGGACAGGGGTTTGTGTGGGGCTGGGCTGTACCTGGTGCTGTTGCCAAGCTGTTCCCAGCCAGGCACACCCTGTCCAGGGCCACAGCAGGGATCAAAAGCTGCCCGGGACTCTCCAGGGGAGTGGGAACCCTTCCACCCTGGGTAAATGTTTGCTCAGGTTTGAAGTTGAGGGTTTCTGGGCAGTGTTGCTTTGAAGCCGGATGGGAGGGTCAGTGCTGGAGTGGGCCAGGCCCCTGGGGAGCTCTGTGACCTGACACTCATGCCCCAGGTGCCCAGCACTGCTGCTGGAGTCAGCACGCTGGCTGCTGGCCACACAGCAACTGGAGAGGGCCAGGAAGACCCTACAGGCGCTGGCTGAGGACAACTGGCCCCAGGACAGCCTCCTCACAGGTGTGTGGGGGAACTCCAAGGGTGATGGAACACTGGGACCCCTCCCCACAGCCATGGTGCTGAGGGGGGTGGGGCAGTGCCGACTCTATCCTGGGATCCCTTCTCCCAGCAGAGCTGGAGGCCTTGTCCGAGGGATCCCCACAGCCCCAGTACCACACTGTCTGTGAGATCTTCAGCACCAGAGTCATCTGGAAGAACGGCGTCATCCTCGGCTTTGCGGCGTGAGCATGAGGGGGATACTGTGAGGGTGCTGCTGGGGTGGGGGGTCTCACTTGTGGCCCCCTGACGCCGCTCTCCCACAGGTTCATCGGCTCCGGCATCCGCCACTGCTTCACTCGCAACCTGGCCCCCCACCTGCCCCACTTCTTCTCCTCCTACTTGGTGCTGGTGGGCACCGAGGTGGCCGCCTGCCTCTTCGTGTGCCTGACGGCCGAACGCTTCGGACGCCGCGCCATCCTCCTCCTCTGCACCGTCCTCACGGGCATCTCCTCCCTCCTGCTGCTGGCCCTCACCCAGTGTAAGGACCCTCAGGGGACCCCCAGGGATGCAGCCCCCAACTGGGGAGGGAACTGCATGTCTGAGAGGGGTGGGTGCGGGATTTGACCCCTGATGCTGCTTCACCCCCTCCCAGACCTGCTGGAGCTCATTGTCCTGACCCTTTCTGTGGTGGGCACGGCTGCCTCCCATGCTGTCACCATGCTCAGCATCTTCTTTGCCAGTGAGGTTCTCCCCACCGTGGTCAGGTAAGGGGGGAACCGGCCCCCTCCTGTGCTACCCTGGGTTGGGCGGCACAGAGGCAGGGCCCCCTCTGAGTGTGTTCCCCCCGCAGGGGCGCCGGGCTGGGCCTGGTCGTGGGGGCCAGTTTCGTGGGCAAGGCGGCAGCGCCCATCACCGCCATCCCCAACAGCCGCGGCTTCTTCCTGCACCACGTGGTGTTCGCCTCCTTCGCCATCCTGGCCGTGCTCAGCATCATGTTGCTGCCTGAGAGCCAGGGCCGCAACCTGCCCCAGTCCCTGCAGGACGGTGAGAACCAGCGCCGGCCCCCCCTCTTCCGCCGGCCCCCTTGCGAGGACCACCTGCCCCTGCTCGCCTCCCATGGCATCCCCCACGACTATTCCCGCCTCGCTGCCTCCACCAAGAGGATGCTGGGCTCCCTGGACACTCCTCATGAGATGTAGCTGTGCCTCCGATCCCTGGGGGTCTCCCCACTGCTGGGATGCCCATCCGTGCGTGCTCATGGGGATGACAGGGAGCCCCAGGACGTGCGCTGGGTGGGTTGGGAGAGCAGCACACCCTCCCGCAGCAGGGCCAGATCCTGCCCCAGGAGGACCAGTGCTGGGAGCCCTGGGGTGGGGGTGATGCCCCCCTGATGGGTGCTGCTGGCTCCCAATAAAAGTGCCTTGTGTCTATGGGCCATCAGTGTGGTGGGGGGACACCACCCCCCCACCACTGGCCCCTGCTCTTTATTATGGCGTGACTCCTCACCCCCGTTCCCCAGCTCTGTGGGGCTGCCCCAGGGTGTCCCCTCCCAGGGCTGCCTGGGTTTGCTGGGCTGGGGTCTGGGGGGGGTGCAGGTGTGGACCCCCCTGCGCGGAGGCCTCTCGCAAAGCCCCTCCGGGTGGGTGTCTTGTGCGTGTCCGTATACAAAGCTGCTGCATCTGGTCATCTCTTGTCTATGTGAGCCCCCCTCTGTCCCTTCCCTGCCCCAGCCCCTCTGTGGGCAAGGGGTGCTCCCCTCCTGCCCCTCATCCCCGCTAGTGCCCGTAGAGGTCGGCCAGGCGGCGAAAGCGTGGCCCCCACTCGCTCAGGTAGTCGTAGTCCTGGTCCTCGTCTGTCAGGCTGGAGACGATGGAGCTGAGGGGGCTGGCAACAGAGCCCGAGCCCTCGTAGTCGTAGATGAGGGCCGTGTCATAAGGGGGCACGCTGGGGTCACTGTCAGCTGCCTCCAGCCCCTGTGGGGACAGGGGGACATTGTGTCAGCCCTGCCAGGGATGGGGGGCTGAGGGCAAGGGGAGCACTGAGCCCCGTCCCACCTCATTGATGAAGTCCTCAATGTCTGAGGGGCTGTTGGGCAGCTTGCGGGGGGCCAAGGGGGTCCCAGAGCTGAGCGGGGCGTCCCTGCGCACTGGCGGCTTGGCCCGGGCTGAGAAGAGCTCGGGGTGCCGGAGCTGGTTGATGTCGTAGGCGTCCTGTGGGGCCAGGAGGGGGTCAGGGAGGCAGGGCTGGGATGGAGACCCCCCGGGGCTTCCCCTGCCGTGGGTCCTGCTCACCTGGTCTTCCTCGCCCCCGCCCTGCTCGTCGTAGTTGAGGATGTTGTCGCGCATATCATCCCGGGAGCGCTCCAGCAGCCCCTTGCGCAGGGCCCGGCGGCGCCCGCGCACCCGCACGGCCCCCAGAGCCGCCAGCACTGCGGGCACAGCGGGTGGGCACGGGGAGTGGGCATGGCAGGCGGGACAGGGAGGGGCACGGGGCGGTGGGGGTGCTGGCTGGGTGGGGCTGGGAGGTGGGATGGGAATGCAGGTGGGGATTCCTGGGGGCAGTGATGAGGTGGGATGGGGGAGGAGCAGAATATTTTAGTGGGGGTTTGGTGAAGGTCAAAAATTGGGGGGAGGTGTTGATGGTCACGGGTACTGACTGGATGGGGTGATTAGGACCAAGATGGGTGATGGGGGACGTGGGTAGGGAGAGTTTGGGGTGTTTTGGACCAGGATGGGGTGATGGGAGACATGGGCAGGATATGCATGGAGTGGCCAGGACCAGGATGAGGTGATGGGTGGGGGATGAGGTGACCGAATGTGCTGGTGGGGTCCGGGGTGGGTGGCCAGGGCCAGGATTGCATGGCAGATCTGGCCCAGGGTGCCAGGGGTGGAGGGGTGAGGGCTCACTCACCAAGGAGGAGGATGCTGCTGCCGAGGATGATCAGGAGGGCCCCGAGGGTGATGCCGGCCCCGGCGGTGGCGGCAGCCAGGACCCCGTCCTGGCAGGTGCCGTCCCGGCCGCAGTGACACACCGAGACGTTCAGCAGCTGCTGCTGCTCCTGCGGGGGAGTCCCCGAGTCCCGGAGCAGCAGCGGGAGTGAGTAGGGCCCTTCGGGCAGCTCCGCCAGCACGGCCAGCACCGCGTGAGTCACTGCGTGGGGAGTGGGTAGTAGAGGGTGAGCAGGATCCCCCTATGCAGCAACCCCCAACCCAGCTGCCCCTCACCATTGAAGCGGGTGATGCTCCAGTTGCGGGCGAGCTGGGGCTGCTGGGGGCTGAGCTGAAAGTGGAAGGGGGCTCCATGGGGGGGCCGGTCATCGTCGGTGGCCCCCAGGAGCAGAGTCCCCCCGCGTCCCGGCCGCCCGCAGAGCACCCCTGCTGGCGGCTGCAGCTGCGGTGCGTGGTCGTTCACCTCCAGGATCTCGATGGAGAGGGTGCCGGTGGCCGAGAGCGGGGGCTCGGCTGGGGGAAAGAGCAGAGGTGTCAGGGAGGGCAACGGGAGCAGGGGAACGTGGCAGGGGTGCTGCTCACCGTCATCTCGGGCCAGGACCAGGGCGATGTACCAGCCGCCCTGCAGGAAGGCCGAGGGGTGCAGCAGCTCCCGCTTGGTGCGGACAGTGCCGGCGTGGGGATCCAGCTGCAGCCAGTCCGCAGGGTCGTAGAGCAGCGCGTAGCTGTGGGTGCAGGGGGGGTGTGACATCACTCCCTGAAACACCGACGGTGGGTGTGGGAGGCCACGGGACGGGAGCAGGACTCACGTGAGGGTCTGGATCTGGTGGGTGTCAGGGTCGCTGGCAGTGTAGGTGGTGATGGGGGTGCCCGGGGGGGTCCCCTCCAACACGCTGATTCTCCGTGGGTTCTCACGGAAGACAGGCGCCTCATTGACATCCCGCACACGCACTCGCACTGTGGCCAGAGCCCGGGGGCTGGCGGGGGCCGTGGGCTCCAGCGGCTGCTCATTCTGCACCGACACCGTCAGCTCAAAGCGGTCCCGCACCTCGTGGTCCAGTGGCTGTGAGAGGGGCTACGGGTCAGCCGAGCCATGAGACCCCCAGTGCCCCCTGGCTGTCCTGTGCCCACCTTGACCACGGAGAGCACACCGTCGTTGGTGTGGGGGTCGGTGCGGATGGCGAAGGCGCCCTCGGGGTCACCCTCCAGGATGGTGTATTTGGCCAGCCAGCTGGGAGAGCCCGCCAGGTCCTTGTCGTGCACAAACACCTTCCCCACGTCCACACCAGCTGCCTGCTCCTCCACCTCCATGGAGAACTGGGAGACAGCAGCGTGGGGCTGGGGTCTGTCCCTTTGGGATGCTGCAGCCCCTTGAGGGGATGGCTCCCTCCCTGCTGACCCTGGCACATTCCCATATCCCACCCGGCCACTACCTCCTCCTTGGTGAACTCGGGAGGGTTGTCGTTGATGTCCTCCAGATAGATGACGGCCATGGCGGTGGTGGTGAGCCCATCCCCGGACATGTCAGCTGCCTGCACCGTCAGGTTGTACACCCCCATGGTCTGTAGGGAATGAAGGGGGCCAGTGCTGAGCCCCTCCAGCCCCCCAAGGAGCACAGAGGTCCCACAGCTGCTGCCCACCCACCATATCCCCACACCAGGGTCTGCTCATGGTTTCACCACCTGGGGGGTCCTGGTTGCCCCCAGTCCCAGTGCCCCCACGGGTGGTCCCCATCCCATTACCTCACGGTCGAGGCCAGGCCGTGCAGTGCAGATCTCCCCGGTGGTGGCATTGATGCTGAACATGCCGGCAGCGCCCTGCTCCAGGATGGAATACTGCAGTGCCGCATTGTCCGTGTCGGGGTCATCGGCATCGGTGGCATCCACCATCATCACGCAGGTCCCTGCAGCCGCAGGAGTGCCTGGTGGATGCCAGTTTTGGGACTGGCTCATGCCCCCACCCCGGCCCCCCCTCTGGACCCACCTGGCTCAGCCCCCTCCACCACGTGCCCCGTGAACACGTCCTGCCGGAAGAGCGGCCGGTTGTCGTTCTGGTCCACCACGATGATCTCCAGGTCAGTGGGGTCCTCCAGTGTCACTCCACCCAGGTCCAGTGCGAAGGCTCTCAGCTGTGGGCACAGAGCACGGTGGTCGGGGTCTAGCTGGGGACCTCAGGGAAGGTCTATGGGCACTCAGGAACATCCTTACCCGATAACGGTCGTTCTCCTCCCGGTCCAGCATGGCATTGAGGAAGACCTTCCCGCTGAACTTGTCGATGGAGAAGATGCCCAGGGGCTCCTCGTCCACCCCTGGCCCCTTGATGCTGTAGATCACCCCCCCGGGCTGCTGCTTGTCTGACTTGATCTGCCCCAGGGAAATCATAGCTGGGTGTCTCAGGCTGGGGGTCTTTTCCCCTCTGGGGTTGCTCCCATGCAATCCCCCTGCCCAGGGTGCCTCCCATCCCAACACCTGGAAGAGAGGGTGGGGGGCTCTCACCTACCTGCACCAAGAGGTGGGGGATGCGCTTGTGGTTCTCTGAGACGCTGATGGGGGGGATCACCCAGGCCCTCTTCACCCGCCGTGGACCCTCGTGCTGCTGCCAGGCCTGGGGGGTGCCCGGGGCTGCAGCATCTGGCTGGGCTGGGCCGGCACCCTGGGGGGGGACATGGTGCTGCTGGTGACCCTGAAACCTCTGGAGTGGGGTGGAATGCCAGGGCAGTGGGCAGGGAGGTGCACTTGGGCTGAGTGTGTAGTGCTGGGGTGCACAGTGATGGAGTACATGGTGTGGGGGTACACGGTGCTGAGCCCCCCTGATGGGGTTGAGGTTGGGTCTGGGGGAGCACAGGGGCTATCCAGCTCCCACAGGAGTGTTGTGTTGGTGGTCCCCTGACATCCTGGTGTGATGGTGATGGGTATCCTGCAGGGATCACCAGGAAGGGCTGCCCCACAAACGACCCTGGTTGGGCTGTATCCCATGGGACCCCTGCAGAGGGGGCGAGGGGGGTACCCCAGGCTGGCAACACCTGCTGTGGCCCCCCCATATCACTGTCACCACATGGACATGGCAGTGAGGGCAGAGGTCATGCCCTCAGGGATCAGTTTAGGCTGCTGGGGTGGTCTTGGAGCACAAAGCTGGGGTGCTGGGGGGGGGCACAGGGAGTTGGGGGGCTGGGGTGAAGCTGGGAGCTGTGAGGGGGGAGATTAGGGATGGAGACAGGGATGGAGATAGTTGTGGGGGCGCTGCAGTAGGGTCAGGGAGCTGATCAGTTTAGAGGCTGTGCAGGACCGGGGTCAGGGAATTGGGGGCGTGACATGGGCGTCTGGAGCTGGGGGGGGGGGCTGGGAGGTAGGGGTGGGAAGGGAGTCAGCGACCTGTGCACACAGCCAACCCCCTCCAGTTCTGTGCCACCCTCGTCCTGATCCCACGGGACATGCACTGTCCCCTCCCCGGGAACGGAGCACATCTGGGCAGCACCAGCCTCGCACGCACATCTGCATCCAGCTGTGCCTGCACCGCTGGCTGCTGGGGTGTCCCAGGAGCCCCAGAGACTTCGTGTGCACCCTGAGGGGGAGGAGGGGGAGCGGGGCCGTGGGAATGGCTCTGCTGGGGGTCCCTGGGGATGGGGGTTGGGGGGACCGGCGGCCGCGTGTCAGCCCCATGGAATGGGCAGGACAACGGGCTCTTTCCGAGGCTATGATGGGCACTGCACTGTGGTCTCCAGCTGTTTCTCTGGGTCCACCCCTCGCAGGAGAGACTCCCCCCACCCTTCCCCGGGGGGCCGCAGGAGCTGGGGACGGATTGGGAGGTAGGGGGGGCGATGAGGGCTCTGTTGCTGTGGGGAGCTGCCCTGCAGGATCCCTTGCTTTCCCCTGCCCTGAGCACCGAGTGCAGGGGCCAGGCCAGAACCTCAACAGCCCCATGTGGCTCAGGCCTGAGACCGCGGTGAGGGGCTCTGGGGGGATGTGCATGGGCAAGGGGGTGTGAGGGGGCTCTGGGACCTCAGTTGGGGTGGGAAAAGGGGGAGCAGGATGTATCTGAGTGCCTAACCCTTCCCCAGATCTGCTCTCAGCCCATCCCGGTTCACAGGCGCAGGCAGTGTGCCGGAGCCGCAGGCCCCCCCCTGCCACGGCCATCTGTAGGGTGGGAAATGCCTCAAGAGGGGCTCCGAGCCCCCATCACCCCCATCCCCATCCCCGCTGCCCTCAGGGATGTGACTTCACAGGGTTTGGGGTCTGGCTACTCCCCAGCTCCGTGTCCAGGATCCCCATCCCGGCCATCCCTCCCGGGGTACAGAGCGGGGGTCCCCATCCCACCCCATCGCACCCCATCCCCACCCTCCCGGTCTCCCCGCAACCCTTACCCGAGCGCAGAGTGGGGCGAGCAGGCAAGCGAGGAGGAGCGGGGGGCCCATGGCGGAGCGGGGCACAGCCCGGCCGCCGGCCCCGAGCTAAAATAGCGGCGGGACTGGCTGAGTGACAGCACATGTGCTGCGGGCACCGGACCCCCCCGCGGGCAGCTGGCCCCGCCGCCCCCGGCCCGTAGCCCGCACCCCCTGCCCTGCCCGGCCCGCCGAGGGGCCCACCGGGGGGATGCGAGGGGCGAGGAGGGGAGAGGGGGGGTCCCCGCTGCCCGGGTCTGGAGAGCGGGGCCCGGGGGGTCGGGGGGCCGAGGGTGCGCAGCCCCAGGGAGGGCGGGCGGAACGCGGCAGCTGGCGCCGGGCGCGCTCCGGGGATGCCGCGACGGGGCGGGCGGGAGGGGGAGACCCGGGCCCGCTGCCCCCCGGCTGCTCCGGCGCCGGGACAGGGACCGACATCGACACGGGCAGGGGGACAAGGACAGACACGAGATAGGGACACGGATAGGGACCGGCACCGGTAGTGGGCCAGGAACCGTAACGAGACAGGAACTTGGACAGGAACAAGGAGAGGGACACGGACGCGAACAGTGACCGGCAGCGATTCTTCTCGCCGCGCTCCGCCGCTCCCCCCGTCAGGGGGAGCCCGCCCGCCTCTCCCCGGCCGTTCACGGTGCCGGTGCCGTCTGCGTTGGCGTCGGGGCCGGCCCTGGTGCGGGGTCGGGAGAGGGACGGCAGCGTCCCACGGTCTCCTGATCCCGACGGATTCCCACCAGGCAGAGAGGCCGAGGGCTGCTCCGGGAGTCCTGGCAAGACTCTCGGCCCCCGTTGTCGGTCCCAGAGCTGTCCCCCGACCCCCGGTCCCGACGCTGACTGCGACCATCGGGGCCGGTCCTGGTGCTTTCTTCGACCCCCAAGGTTGGTCACGGTGCCGCCTTCGACACCGCAAAGCTGGTCCCGGTGCCGCCTGCGACTCTGGGGCCGGTCCCAGTGTTTCTCTCGACCCTCCAGGCCGATCCCAGTGTTTCTCTCGACCCCCCGGGCCGGTCCCCGTGTTGTCGCGATGCCGTGGCACCAGGTGGCAGCATCGTCCCGGCCACCAGCCCCGACATCGGCGGTCCCCGCGCCCGAGGTACCGCACCGAGGACCACCCCCCGCCCGCCGGCGCGGGGTCCCGGTGAAGCAGGGATGGAGAACCGCGACCCCCTGGGCAAGGCGAAGGGGTCGAGGGGCTCTTGCCCTCCAAGGGAACCGAGCCCTGGATCTGGCAGGGGAGCGTGCGGTGTGTCGGTGACACTGGTGGCATCACCGCATACCTGCCTGGCAGCTGCCCATGCTCCCGGCCAGCACCGTCCCGTCCATGGGAACAGGTGCCTTGTGGTGGGCACCGACACGGGGATGGGGAACAAGGCGTGGGAAAAGAGACACAGGAGGAGGGATGCAGGATATGTCCTGTCCGTTCCCAGGAGCTGAGCGGTGGTGGCAGGGCTGTCGGTGTCCCCGGCGACCTGTCACGAGCGGGTGAGCGTCGGGCACCGGTGACCCGCGGCTTGGCTGGGCCGTGGCGTGGGCAGCGGCGCTCACTTGCCCGTCCGTCTGTCCGATCCCATCCGTCCGCCCCGCTGTCCTGTCACCCCGCATCAGTGTCACGGCGAGGAGCCGCCCCGGCGGCGCTGGCCGGGGGTCCTGGCGGCTGCCCCTGACCCTAACGCGCCGTGGCAGCGGGGCGGCCGAGCAGATGTTCCCTGCCACCGGCACCGCGGCGCGGGGGTGCGGGGGTGGCAGATGTGACAGGCTTTGACAAGGCGCCAGACCCGCTCGTGGGGACAGGGCTGCCCGTGGCGTGTCCCCGGTTGCAGCACGACAGCGGGTGCTGCAGCCCCCCTCACCACTGGCCCTGCACCAACACCCCTTGCTCCTCTCCCCCCAAAACCCGGGGGTTCCACTGGAGGTCAGAGGTCTGGGGTCCCCCAGATGCTGAGTTCAAGTAGGACCAGCCCAGAACCATGACCGTCCTTGCTGTGCTGAGTCATCCTCTTTTGGAGGGTCCCACTCCCCCCTCCCAGCTGACACACTCTGACCTGCCCAGAACAGTGCAACTGCTTTGGGTGCTCGGACCAGTTCTGCCCCCCCGTGTGTGTTGGGACCATGGATGTCCCTGAAGTGGGGTGCAATGGGACCACTCATAACCCCAGTGTAGGACCAGTCATGTCTCTCATGTGGGGTGCAGTAGGACAAGTCGTGACCCCAGCACAGGGACTGGGAGTCAGGGCAGTGCCCAGCGAGGGCAGAGGGAGCAGCTGGCATAGCCCCATAAAGCCACCAGAGCTTCGATTTTATATGGCAATAAAAGGTAAAGTAAGCTATAAAGCATGACAGCAGGTCCTGGTGTGCCGAGCAGGGGGGGCACAGAGGGATGGTCAGCCTCCAGCTCCCTGGGACATCCCAGCAGGGCAAGGGCGAGCGGGTCCCCAGGCGTCCCCCGGTCAGGGACACTCCCAGTGCTGTTGACAGGGCCAGCATTACAGCCCATGCATTAAAGCTGCTGCTTTGGGTTGTTGTTGTTGTTTTAATGGTTTTATTGGGCGATGCTGGGCCGGGCCTTGCAGGCCTTAATGAAGGAGATTGATGGCTTAATCGCCTGTAGCCATTACGGGGTAATTGAATGGTTGTGTACATATGATCCGACCGTCAATGCCGACGTGGCTCGCAAGCGAAACGCCTGGAGCAGACTGGGGGACACAGCCCCTCCTGCATCCCTGATGGAGACAGCATGGGGGGAGCAGAGCCCATGGCCTTGGAGACTCTCATTCCTGGGGTCCTTGCTGTGTCGGTGTTCCTGGAGGTCTCCATGTCCATCCAGTGGCACCAGGTTACCCCAACTCACCTCCATCTGGCTCAGCTCCCAACCTGGGTTCCAGGGCACCATAACCAGGTGCTTTAATGAGGTTTTTAATTACCAGGTCTCATCTATAGGGATGAACAGCAGTGGGGGAGTGGAGGTGGGAGCATGGGGGTTCAGCATGAATGGCAGCCCCAAACCATGGTCACCACTGACCACCCTCCCTGTGGAAACCACTGAGGAGCAAACCCAGCAGAGCCAGAGCTGAGTCCCCACACTGAGGTGTGAGTCAAACTACTCATTTTGTGTGTGACAACCAGGTGTTTTACAGTATTTGCTACCTGTGATCATCCATCAAAGCAATCGATAGCGTTCCTGCAGAGTTTTATTAATGATCTTGTCACGGGGCTGGTGCGGGGTGCCCGGGGTTGTCGAGAATGATAGATCATTAAGAGCTTTTGCTGCTATTTATTCTCCAGTGACCTTGTCTTTCTCCATTGTTGCTTGCTTAAGAGTTATGAATGCAAGACATGATAATTTGATATTGATCTATTTGGTAAGTTAAAAAATTTACTGCATCGTTGATGTTTTAACAAAGGATCTGCTCGGTCCCTCCCGCAGGCTGGGACGAGCTGCCTGTGCTCGGCTCCACATGTGTGTCCGTGTGCCGGAGCGCTGAGCCCGTGGTGTGGGACAGGGAGGGGTGGCTGGTGAGCTCTGGGTGTCCCCAGTGTTCCCATCGCAATTCCTTCTGAGCCTGAAATACCAAAAGTCAGGCCCTGGCAGATGCTCCTGTGGGCTGGGTGCTGGGATGGATGGAGCAGGCGCATGACTGGACCACTGTGCAGGTGGTGCAGGGTAGGATGGAGGGGCTGCAGAGGAGGAAGCCTGTTCCTGTCCATATCCCCTTCTCCTTTTCCCATCTGCTGTCATGTCCCTGTCCCATCCCTGCTCGCTATGCCCAGTGCCTGCCAGCTGTCCCCTCCGTGTTCTGCCAGGTTTTTGGGGCTCCACTGACCCTAGCAAAGGTATCCCTGTAATTACTTGTGCTCTCTGTTCCTCTTGCCCTTTCTGTTGCTTCCAGTGCCCCACCAGCTGATGGGGAAAGCTGGCGCTCCCTGTTAGCCCCTCAGCACTGGACAGGATTGGACCAGCATCCCGTTGCCTCCCCAGTGCAGTGGGATGGATCTGTTGGCTGGGGACCTGCAGGGCACGGCTGCCAACCCCCACTGGCATTACTTATCCCTCAGGGCTGACAGCTCCCATGTGAAGTCAAACAGGGACAAAATTCCAGGTATAAAGGTGGGGTTTATCAGTAGTGCCTGTCCTCCACGTAATCGATGACCTTCAGATGTGGGCACTGGTGTCACACACACACACACACAATTTAATTCATGCTGCATCTGCTCCAGGGTGCCTGTGACATCCCTCTTGGCTCTGACCCCACCCCAGCCCACTAGGGCATTCACTCCTTGCCCCACTGTGGCCACAGCCCAAAACCCAAGCCTGGTCATGCTGTTCCTCCCCATCTCCCTGGGGTCTCTGCACATTATTTATTGTTTCATGGCTCTTTCATCACATTGATGTCCCTGCAAGCCCCTGGCAGCCATCCCTGCCCCTTCCCGCTTTCCTGCTCCATTGTGGGATGGGTTACATCCATCAAGTGCACTAGGAGAACGTGTGGGTAGACGTATTGGGTTGGACAGCACAGTCAGTATTTATGAGTGATTTTGTATTTATTCTTCATTTTTGCTGGGAAATCCTTCCCTGTAAGGCTGGTGAGGCCCTGGCACAGGTTGCCCAAAGAATCTGTGGCTGCCCCATCCCTGGAAGTGTCCAAGGCCAGGTTAGACAGGGCTTGGAGCAACCTGGTCCAGTGGAAGGTGCCCCTGCCCGTGGCAGGGGCTGGAATGAGATGAGCTTAAGGTCCCTTCCAATTTAAACCATTCCATGATTCTGTGATTCCTGCAAAGGGCTCTCATACAAGGAAACCCTAACTCCGGAGCTCTGGCTCAGCTTGGCCAGGTGGGATAAATAAATCCTACTTTTATTGGATATTATTCATGGACCAAGCTGCGGCGAGCCCAGATCTGCTACTGCTGATCCCTGCAGCACCTCTTTGGAGGCAAAATGGTTGTGGATCAGGGCCAAGCACCCCTGGGGTCCCAGCCCTGGCCCTGGGGCCAGGAATCAGGCTGAGTAGAAGCGCTGCAGAAGCTCCTTCTTGTTCACTTTCCCCATCTGGTTTCGCGGGATCTCCTCCACCACGATCAGCTCTGTTGGGATGGTGTATGGAGCCATGGTCTCCCTGGAACACAGTTCAGTCCATTACAGCCACCTGGGACCAGCACAGGCTGAGCTGTCCTGGGAGCACCCACAGCCCTCAGCACCCTGATCAGCCCCACCTGGGACCCCCACCCATACCCCAAGAGCCCACTTAGCTCTCAGTCCCTCTAAGAGATGCTGATTGTTTCCAGCCTGTCTCTGCAGGGAGCAGCTCATCCCTTGGGGATCGCCTGGGGATGTAGGGCTTGTTTCCAGTCCTCTTTGCCCTTGTCTACTGGGAGAGCTCTGTTCCCCCGCCACAGCTCATCCCTGGTCCTATTCTTCTCCTGCCTGTGCTCTCTGGTGGCACCTGGACCCAGCTCACCACTTGCTGTGTTTTGGACTGGAGATGGACCCTGTTACTGACACCTGGCTCCACCTGACATCTCCAGCTCATCCATGAAGGTCACTCTTGGCTTCCCACTCCCTGCCCTTTGGGAGTAGCTGCCTGTGCTGCTAAGCCTGCCATGGGACATCCCAAAGCACCCACCCACCCCTCAGGAGGGGGCATAGAGACCCTTCAAATGGTGAGGTGGACTCAGTGACCCTTCCTGTTAGAGACAGGGACAATGCGCAGCAGAGTGGCGGATGCTGGACCCCACGTGTTCCTGGTGCCAGTCCCTGAGAACTGAGACTGCAGGTGAGTCGCCTCCCCAGGAGTGTGCAGGTGACTTGTCAATGATCACAGCCCACGGGGGCCTTCCTGCTGCAGGGAGAGGTTTGAGCACTGAGCATCATTCCCTTTGCAGAGCACGGAGGGGGGTCTCCCCTGCCTTCTGCTGCCCGTGTGTCACCAACCTGGGGCTGTGCCCGGCCCCAGCAGTGTCCTGGCACTGACTCTAATTCGAGATGCCAAGTCTGCTGAGCCCTTCAGCCCTCGCCTGGCCTCCTCCCCCCGCTGCCACCAGCACCCGGCCATATGGATCCGCTAACTCGGGATGGCGCCTGTCGCCGGGAAGCGCCATCGGAGTGAAAGCCGCAAAATGAATCACTCTGAAGAGGGACATGTGTCTCCTGCCAGGGAGCGCAAGAAAAGGGGCCAAGTGAATGTAAGTGACATAAAAAATAAAGGGGATAGACAGGGTGAGAGGGAGAGGCGGGAGAGGGCTGGAGTGGTGCCTGGAGCCAGTGCTGGGCAGGGAGCACAGCCCAGGCGGGTGGCCAGACCCTCGGGGGGCTCTGGTTTCAAGGGCAGAAGAGCAACATTTCTGTCACAGAGCTGGGGACAGTGATGGGAAGAGACGTGCAGGGAACACTCTGGGAGGGGGGCAGGTAGGGAAGTACATGGGGGGCTGAGTGCAGCCCCCTGCCCTGCACCAGTGACACCCAGAGCAACATCTGGGGGATCCGCAAGGCCACAGGTGAGGGATGAAGGGATCTGCTGGGGTCACCAATGTCACTGCCAGAAGGATAAGGGATGAGCAGGCACTACGCAGCATGGTGAGCACCTCTCATAAGAGGAAAGGCTGAGAAG